CTGATAGCGACCACTATCACCTAGAAGAGCAGAAATCAATGGTGCAAAGAGTAAACTTTCAGGAGAGGATATAGGATTCTGCCGCCCAGCGCAATTGCGCGTGACTCATTCTGCCTTCGCTCTGCCAGGCCTTCCTCCCACGCGTAATTATCCACTACGAGCGTTATTGGCCTTTCTCACACTATCGATCAACTCGCTGCCTGATAAGCGCATAAGCTCCAAATCAATCGATACTCCCGCTTCATTCGATTGGCTGCAGACGGCAGAGTACTCATCGCGCAGGCAAAGCTACACAACAACGCAGGACCTCACGGACACAACTGGCGTGCAGACATAGCTGGCAACTGGCGCGTGAAGCAGCCTTTGTACAGTTCATCTTCTTGCAGTAAAGCTGTTCCAGTTTATTCCGTTTTCCTGACTTGTGATTTGGGGAACCTTCTCTTGTAGACACTACCACTTGAGACAACGAAGCTAGGCAGAATCGCAGTCTTTCTTTTTCCCTTCATTCTCACGAGCTTCTGCAGAAGGTTACTTGGTGGCACTGTGGCATGGCTAACGCCAACTGCCCGGTTCGAACACCCATCCAAAGGACTAAATGAGTAACAGGAGACCCGGAAATGTATCATACCCCAAATATCCATCCCCTGTGATCGAACATGCTGTACAACGGCATATCAATCTAGTCAGCGGTTACCAAACAAGAATCAAGGAAAAAGGGGGCTAGTTGAGCACTAGGACGGTGTTCATTTTTTACAAGCTCTTATACTTGCGCCGGAGTCTATCGTTATAAATAACAGCAGCAACAGAGAAGTCCTTATTATCTAATAAATGGCCAGAACTGTAGGTTTGAAAGTTACTGCACAGGACTCTGTATACGGACACTTGATAAATACATCAATTGATACGAGTACCCATCAGAGGCCCCGGCTTCAATCAACTCTCGGTGTGCGGTACTCCTGCGGCATGAGCAATAAGTTCGGTAGTTGCTAAGTTGATGACCGCCACACCCCTATAACTAACACTTGTTCTGATGTTGATGTCAATTCTGCCAATGGACTTCTATACGAGTTCTAAAACTCGGGAAAAAAGTTAACGAATATTTCCGGTGTTCGGTCAGCCTCCTACTTCCTGTAATTCAAACATCCATCTCGATTAGTCAAAAGCAGAGTCTTTGCGTTAACTCCGGCATATGACAGGGTTATATCCCCTCTCACAGACGTGGTTCGTTTACAAGTGCTGACCAACCGTAACGCTCGGAAGAAGATGCGATCGCTGGAAAATGGCGTTTATCCGGCAGATGTTTCGGATTCTCGTTCGAATCCCTCATCCAGGAGTCGCAGATCAGGATGATGCGGACGCCAGGGACACAAGACACAGGTACCTAAATGCCAGGCGGGCAGCCTAAGATTCCAGTGCTGGCAAGCCACATCGCCGAGAATCAAAAACGGCGATGAAATCTCGACAATTAACGACTCGGACGCAGACTAACGAACAATTATCGCGTCAGGTACGACCACCAGCGATGAATGGAAGATTCGCTAATTGGATTAGGCACGTGGGTATATGGTAACTGTGTCTTATCGGTCGCATCTTCTTTTTTTGAACTGCTTCCTGCACCTGGCCTGTTCACCTCTATCAAACCGTAACGCGTGCAGTATTGGCCGGAACTACGCCCATGACGTTGTTATGTTGGCAAATCGCTTTGTGAAGTGCGTTTTTTTTTGGTGTTCGGCGCCATCAGCCCAAAACTGACGGTCTCCGAAATAGCAGTTCGAGGTTACTTGCTCGGTCACGATAGACGGTTAAATTCTGGGGTAAGTTGACAGCCAGCGCGCGCAGCCTTTGGTCAAATTGGTCGAAACTTCTGGATATTACGTGAGGACAGTTTATACACTAAGCTATAAGTCTTTTTTCTCTGTCAGAAGAACCCCTCTACGTAGATGTTATATGTACGGCGTGTGAGCCTATCAGATATAGTTCCCTCCACTTCATTTTTGTTAAGGGAGAGATAGGCTAGCGCTTTTGAGCTCCCTATTGATAATAAAGTGGCTAGGAAATGTGTGGATACAAAAAATGGAAAAAAGAAATATGTCAATTGCATGATTGCAGGCGAAAAGCGAGCAACTGTTTGTTAGTCGAAATCCTAACAATACTCACTTAGCACGAGGGGTATAACAACTGTGTGTAATTGTCTGCCGTTTGGGTTAGCGTATAGTTGGTGAATGAGATATTTGATGCACGCACAGTTTGCATAGAAGTAGTTAACGGTGGTGCCTGCCTTAATGCCCAGAATAAGGTTTTCCGATCGCGTCTGCAAAAACAACGCTACAGTCGCTTAAAAACAGAACTGTTCTGTCTCACTATTTCAGCAATGAACCGAGCCGGCTTGGCGATTTAACGGGCCAAGATGATGTTTTGCGCGAACACTACCCTGTCACACTACGCTGTGTCAAGATGATCGGCAGAATACACGAGTGGACAAAGAAAAATCCGCAATTGGGCGCAGTTGGACCCACGCAGGGCCAACAATAATTCACGATCTCATAAAATAACAATATAAAGCCGATGGGTGGAGTAATAATAAAGTACGTGGGACGTACGAGTTCCAGACGTATGCTGGTCTCTCTCTCTATCGAAAGGAGTCGAAACTTACTGCCACTGAATCCATTTATGGTTCAGACGCCACAGAATCTTGCATTTCTAGGATGAGCCCGGATAGAGAGGATGGATAGGCGGGCCGTGCTGATGTTTAATAATTGCTGAAGAAAATACTAAAATACCCCCCAGAACTTTCGGAACTCTCCTAGAAAACTGATATGGTCATTGATATCATATATTTTTGGCTTCTACAAGCATTTGGTCAGATTTTGGAGAGGAGATTGCCTCTGTACAGCGACGAAAACTCTACCCACTAAAGTAGAATCCCAACAGAAAACCATTTGTTGAGAGCAGAAGACAGGGTGATTACCAACTTACATGATAAACTCGGAATCTGGAAGTACGGAGGTTGCAACCCCACCAATCAGGAGCCATGGGTTGTACACTGTCTGTCCACCGCGTACCGAGGTGCCGGCCTTGGCCGCGCAATCCTGTTAAGCGAACAGATTTCATCACAAAATTCACAATCGACAAACCTGGAAGCCGCGCATTAGCAGTTCATTAACAATGT